CTGAAAATGTGCTGTATAAATAAAATTACCTTACCTTACAAATAACCTCGTTAATAGAAAAATCTTCAATAAATGGAGACGTTGGAGGTAAACTGTTTATTTTCTTGGTCTGGATTTTTTTTTGTGTCTATTTTTAGCAACTAGAACCAGAATGATGGAGCTCATATATTCTGCCGGCATCAGAGCAGAATGTGATTGGATGGAAACACTGGGCATTTTTAGATGGGTTTTAATGTTTCATATAAATCGAGTAAAACAATCGCTCTGCATCTGCAGCTCAGGAACTGCAGCAGGTTTTAATTCCAGCTTTGAACTGAAATATTTTTCCTGATTTGGAGCAGAAATGTTCGGATGTTAATCGATCCCAGTCTTATTTCCGCTCATCCGCACGTGTTTCCACGCCCTGTGATACCAAACCGGGCTCGGTTCCGGTTCAGTAAACGTGATGATGCCGTTATGGTGCGATAATCTGGTTGCCTTGACAACGGGCCGCAGGTAGCTTGAAAACCATCCTAAAAGCGTCTCCGGTTTTCTGCAGGTAAACTTTGTGCAGAGAAGCTGCGACTCTGAGTCGGTTTCTAGCAGGAATTCGGCTCCGGTTCTGGTTCTGGTTCCGGTTCTGTGGCCGCAGCAGCACGTCGGGCCGAGGCAGTGGAGCAGATAACAGCCCGGTTACAGATTAACAGAAATGGTCCGAGCTTTGGCAGGAACACCTGCAGCTCTCAGATGTTTGTTTCAGACGCCGAGATGGGAAGAACCGAACTGACGTCCTGCGTGCTGGTTCTGGTCGGAGCCGCGGCGGCCCAGACAGGTAGGCTGCTTTACCTGGACAGGTGGCCGGGAGAAAAGCTGCGGGGCGGGATTCAAACGGAGGTTCTGAGATCCAATCCGGTAAAAAATGATCTGAAGTCTAAAGCAGGAAACAGTTTTAGCGTTAAAATATAAAAAAATGGAATAAAAATTAAGAAACTTTTGTTTTTAACCAAAATATTTAAACGCAAAGTTTTAACGTAACTTTGATCCAGGAAGAATCTTTTCCGTTTATTATGATCATATAACAATAAACCGATCAGTCATTAATCTGTTGAACCAGGAACATAACAACTAAAAACAGAATATTTATGGGGTCCAGTTTGTAAAATTACACTGTAAAAATTAACAGCAATAATTTGGTTAATTTAGCCTTTCATAGAGAAAAACCTGCGAGTGTTGAGTTTTCAAAAACACTGAATATTCAAAAACTCACCATGTTATCCCTACTTTTATAAATGTCAGTTCTAAGCTAAATATTTCATTCACAAACATAATATTTAGCTAGGAAGTTGAATGTTTGCATCTAAGCTAAATATACTGCTCAAAAAATAAAGGGAACATTTCACTTTAATTTTGTGTGTGGCTCCAAATCCAGGCCTCCATTGGTTAATAAATTTGATTTCCATTGATGATTTTTGTGTGATTTTCTTGTCAGCACATTCAACTTTGTACAGAACAAAGTATTCAATGAGAATATTTCATTCATTCAGATCTAGGATGTTATTTGAGTGTTCCTTTTATTTTTTTGAGCAGTGCATTTAGCTCCAAATTAAATATTTAATATTTAAATATTTTGATCTAAACCAACTTTAAATTCTGCTTACTAAATATCTAGATTAAAACTAAATATTTATTTTCCATACTAAATTAAACATTTAGTTTAGTTGCAAGTTGACTTGCCGATAAGTGGAAGTGGAATATCAAAATAAAAGCTGAGTTTTGTGGAACTCTTAAACTGAAGAGTCGCTAAACGTTTAGATTTTTCTTCCGTTTCCTGTCAAAGGACGGGCTTTTACTTTGAAAACTAAATGTTTAGTTTGCTGTTGATTTTTTACAGTGTAGCTGAACCGTCCCCCTGTAGATCTTTGGTTTCAGGAGTTAAACTGCAGCAGATCTATGAACAGATTTAAAGCAACCAGATCTGCTGCTGTTCACCCTGGAGTTCTGGCCACAGGTCAAAGGTCACCAGCCAGCAGAGTTCTGGTCAGCAGAACCGGTTCCAGAGAAACCGGGTCAGAACCGCCGCTGCGGTACCGCTCCACTCTGATTGGCTAACCATCATGACCCTGGTGACCTCTGACCTCTGCCTGCAGACCAGGCCGGCCAGTCGGAGCGGCTGCTGCCCCAGTGGCTGACGGGGATCGTCGCCGTCTGCAGCTTCCTCCTCCTCACCTTCATCGCTGCGCTGGTGAAGAAGGTCTGGTGTGAGTCCAGCAGGTGAGTCACAACTCGTCTTCATCACTTCATCTTCATCGCCTCTGTGGAGCACAAACAGACAGCTGAGGCCCAGTTTGATTGGACTAGACCACTTTTAGCAGGGCAATGTTTCAGATGAAGCCGTCTGCTGATTGGTCAGCATGAGCTGAACCGTGTGTGTGTGTGTGTGTGTCGTCAGCAGGAGCTCCAGCGTCGACGCCGCCTTCGCTGAGACCAACCCGTACGAGACCAACCTGGACGGCCCGAGGTGAAGCCTTCAGTTTGCAACCAGGCGGGTTTACCGCCACCTGCTGGCTAAAAGCGGCACAGCAAGAAAAAACTCTAAAGCAGTTAAACT